TGAAAAGCAGACTGACCTGGATGCATAGGAATCATGCATAGACTTCGGTTTCAGGTATCGGGATTAGCTTCGTGACATCTGCCCACAATTCTATAGAAAAACCCTGGAGCAGTTATGCCTGACTTAAACTTTGTGTGAGTAACTGGCACGCACCACATGCAGCCAGTGAGACACGATCAGGAAGCGAGGTTTCACCTGTCTCTGGGACAATTGAGGGACATTATGACGTTAACATTTCACCCTTCACAAATGTCTGTGAAGAGGAATGACAAGTGTAGTTCTCACACATAGAAAATTCGTCCTAAACACAACAAGTTAATTTATATGTCTACAGAACAAAAGGTCAAGGAATATGCTTGAACCTCGGCTATTTTCGTAGCCGTCCTGTTGTCTAATCCAAGGATAGTCAACAACAAAGGACAAACAATTGTTTAGTCCACCAATAAAGTAACTAGGCGGACGCTGACTGGTTCTCAAGTGACACAGCAGCCTGAATATCCGTGCTAACATAGCCATTGCAGAGGTTCGCATCAAGGTTTCGTAGCCTCAGCAAGCTTCCGTACACAACAATTGTATCGAAAATATGCCTGGGCCCGATTATTAAGGTGATAGTTGTCCCCACTACTCAAGCCGTCATAAGTCCGGCTGGAAACCACACTAGACCTATTATCAAAGTGAGTAGCGTTACCATGTTTCTGATGTCGCAATTAGCGAAAATAAATTCCTAGTCTTACTTCTGTTATTGAGTAAGAGCTAAATGTGGGGTGATAAACCTGGGCTCTTGCAACTCAGGGAGGCAAGGTCTTCGGAATTAATCCAGCCATGATACATTCCCCTGCCCCATATAATTGTTGCTTACTTTTCGATGACGCTTTTATCACTGACGATGGACTCCAGCAAGAGTTCGAAAGTTCAAATGAATAAACCATGATCTCGGTGATTGACATGCCTTGTTCTTCTTTTATTCTTCTCTACAGTCCATACCCCGGGCAGATGTCAAACACCACACAGTTGGGACCGTCGCTCAATAAATGCTTGCAGGCTCTTCCGTGCTGTCTACGGGGGGTCGTTCTGGCAATGTTTAGAAAAGCACAACATTGGCGTGGTTGGTCATTTGATCCGCCACAGATTTTTTGGTCAAGTTCCAGGAGGCTATTCAAATGAATGCTAGCTTTCGCTAGGGAAAAAAAGAAACGTTGATTACGAAGACGCTACACTTAATCGCGTTTCCACCCCACAATCTGGCGCGCTTTTAAATCCCCACAATGTGCTTAATATCGTGGCTTGAAATATTATCAACTGGCGAGATAACTAGGTCTCCTCAGGATGGAGCATCAAGCCGAAATGGCTCTCCTTGACGTGACGTCCATGGCAATCCCATTCAGACAGAATCCGAGCCGCCCCTTGTTTCCGCAAAAACCTGGCCCATTTTGCGCGGACAAATCGTATTTGGCACACGTCAACGAGCTGTTTATCCCCTGTCATCTACTGCGTCCGAT